GTTAAACACATTGTTTTTGAGAAAAATTGCAAAACGTGATCGAATGCATATGGGAATTTGTATGCAATTGTACGTACCTGATAATTGTAGGTGGTGAATTTTTTTTTGACAGTTATCATTAATCTGTTGTCAGAATACTATCCTCAAAAATTGGTGAATTGATTATTCAATATTAACTTTAAATTTGTTTGTTTATTGCGAACTCCAGCCACCTACGATTACCGAGTAGAATTTTATACGAATCTCGATAATTATGGATTCGATCACACTTGGCCCTTTTTCTCAAAAACAATGTGTTTAACGAAAAAATGGCGAGAGACGAAAAGATGTCTAAACTGAATGAGCCAAGGAATGGGCCTTCTGAACGAATAATATTTTTTCAAAAATTGAAATACACTACCAAAGTTTTGAGGCTTCAAAGAATTGTAGGACATCTCCGAGGCTTTTGATCAGGTGTGGCCCAAAGGTTTCCTCACCAAACTTCCATCATATGGTCTTCTGAAAAAATTTTGCCATTGACTGGGGAGCTTTTTGGAAGGCAGGTCACTTCATGTTGTGGTCGATGGTGTGTCTGCTCATACACTACCTATAAATGCCGGCGTTCCCCAAGGCTCAATTCTGCTCCCAACACTATTACTCATATTTGAAAGTTATTTGTTAAATCTGACAAGAAACCCCATATACAGCTTCGCGGACGATAATAGCTTGATGGCGTCTTTCTTTTCTGACAAACTGCTTATACTGCAGCCACTTCCACACGTCTCGCTTGAGAACAGATTCACTCTGTCAACAGTGATCTTGACACCATTAGCAACTACCGCTGTGAAACTAGCAGCCGCATTTACAGCAGCCAGGGTGTGAAATTAGCAGCCAGTTACAGCAGCCAGGGTGTGAAGTTAGCAGCCTGTTTTAGCAGCCATTTTAAGACAAAATGAATAATGTCATCTAAATTATGAACTTGTATTTTCAAATATATAGCTGTTTATCCAATCTCCATTCACCTGCGTTATAATGAGAAGCAAAGCGATCGAAAAAAAAAACTGAAAAATGGTGTTCCGTTATCAACCCTGGTTCGTTAACCATATTTTGAAGATCTCCTACACCGAGTCGCATTTTCTGTCTAAGATGGAGAAAACGGACCCTAATGGAAAAATCGACAAAAATCAAGAGTCACTTTCAAAAATGGAGTTCCGCGATTAAACTTGGTAGTATCACTGAACATATTCTAGAGAACACGAGAGAGAACACCTAGCTCAAGTCGCATCTTCTTGCACCTTGTCTAAGATGGAGAAAACGGACTCAAATGGAAAAATAGAAAAAAGAAATCAAGTCACTTTCAAAAATGAAGTTCCGCGATTAAACTTGGTAGTATCAGTGAACATTCTAGAGAACATTAATACCAAGTCGCATCTCCTAAGATGGAGAAAACGGACGTTAATGGAAAAATCGACAAAAATCAAGTCACTTTCAAAAATGGAGTTCCGCGATTGAACTTGGTAGTAAGGTGAACGAGCAGACTGGGATACTTTGCTTGAGTCAGATATTCCTTTGGAGCAATTCCATAATGTATTGTGTATACATTTCTATAGTGCTTTCCCCATTATATCCATTAAAATGGCTAAGAAAAAAGTTTTGTATACAAAGGGCCTTAAAGTCTCTGGAAGGAACATGCGTGCACTACATTATATGCGCAAATACTCAATGGATAATGATAAATTTCTTGAATAATACAATAATTATCATAAAATATATAGAAAGCTTGTGGAAATTGCAAAAAGGTCTTATTTTGATGAGAGGATTGAGAGGGCATCAAACAAATCAAAGGAGGCATGGAAAATCGTAAGCGACTTGAGAGGCAATAAGAACGTTCTTCAGGTCTTGGAAACATTGAAAGCAGATCAGCTTAACTCCTTTTATTGTTCCGTAGCAGCCAATCTGGCTGATACTATTCCAAAAGCTGGCGATCCATTAAAGTATTTATCTCACATAAATGTATCACACACTTACAAAAATGGAGTTCCGCGATTAAACTTGTTTTTGATCATTAATAACTATAATGATAGTGCCTACCAAAATTACTCGCGAAACTTTATTTTTGAAAGTGACTTGATTTTTTATCGATTTTTCCATTAAGGTCCGTTTTATCCATCTTAGACAGGGCGCAAGGAGATGCGACTTGGTATGGCAGTTTTTTAGAATATTGTTTATGATACTAGCAAGTTTAATCGCGAAACTCCATGCATTTTTGAAAGCGACTTTTGATTTTCTTTCGATTTTCCTATTAAGGTTCGTTTTCTCCATCTTAGCAAGGAGATGCGCCTCGGTATAGGAGTCAGCTAGGATATTGTTAATAGTACTACTACCAAGTTTATTCGCGGAATACCATTTTTCACGGCGTACATTTTTTTTCTCGATTCCTCTGCGTCTTGTAATAACGCAGGTGAATGGAGAAAAAGCTATATTTTGAAAACAAAAGTTCATAATAATTTAGTCATGACATTATCGATTTTGTCTTGAAATGGGTACTAAAACAGGCTGCTAACTTCACACTTCGGCTGCTGTAACTGGCTGCTAACTTCAGACTTTGGCTGCTGTAAATGCGGCTGGGGCTTTAACAACCTAGTCAAATTTAATGCTTCCAAAACTCAAGCAACAAGTATTTTATAATATACTCAAATAAGAAATCTTCCGCCGATAATAATTCCTGGGCTGACCGCATCGACCAACTTTTCTCGGCATGACCATGTGACTTCTTTTTCTTTTTTGGTGTCCACGTCGTCTGTCAGTAATTTCTTTTCCTTTTTTGTCATTGGCTTTCATTCACTGGCCGGTATTTGTATCAGTATACAGCCTTTGAACCCAGACACCAAAAACTGAAATATAGAAATACTTTTTGAGGACATTGAGGCTTATTTAAACAATAACTTGAATAAACAATATGAAGTATCAGCTAAACTTCAAACACTATGGTGCAAAAGGACGGGGTTGTGTTCGATGTCTCTAGATCATATCTCATGGATACAATTTAAAATATAAATATCAAAATGTTGTACAGTGACCCTCAAACCTGCGTTAACAATTGGCACATACAGCTATTAATTTATCTAGGTACCTACAGAAAAAAAAAACTATCCAAATAATTTCTACCTTAGTTTGATTTTGTTTTGTTATTGTAATTAGACGAATTAGCATTATTGAATACATTTGAATTAATTTATTGATTGATTTGATTTGCTTTCCCTAAAATATAACAATGTGAGTAACTGAGTTTGAGACTAGTAAATTTAGTGCGAACCATTTTTAATAAACGTTATCGTTTTGTTGCAACCTCAACATTTTTCCTGTCGACAAACCAATGCAATTCGAAAAACAAAAATATTATTTTTCAGTCCAGATGCAACAACAAATCCTGTTTTTGAAAGAACTGTGGCTTGTGGTCTATTTAGATAATTTCAGAAATAAAATTATTAAAGCTCGCTTGGGAAGTTGGATTGGCTCAGTTCTGCTTGATTACTTTTTGATAAATTACCTAATTATTTAGTGTCTTCATTTAGTTTTTTTAAAACATGCGGGTGAGAGTTTTACTTATTATGACCTTATGTACAGGGTGGGCCAATTTGGACACTTCCTTATGGAAACACCCTTTATTTTTAGAGATAGAAAAAAATTAACCCCCCACTCTGAGGCTCAAATTTCATGAAATTTTGATTGGTGCAAACCGCTTTTTGATATCTTCAACCGTTTAGCCGCTAGAGGGCGATTCTCGATTTTGAGCAATATTGTGAACCCTTCATAACTTTTTTGTTTATGAAAATAATTGATTTCCGTAAAAACTTTCTGGAAGCACTTTTTAAAACAGAATTCAGGGACGTTCTCAGTTTTTTTCTATTCTGCGCCGATTTTGAGATATTGACTAAAGTCTGATTTTTTTCAATGGGACACATTTTATATTAATAGCTCATTGAAGAGCTATGATTTTTCTGATTTTAATGATATAAAGTTCGATAGGTTTATCTCTAACAGTATTCGAGAAAAAAAATATTTCGGCTTTTGTCATAAGAAACAATGAGTTAGAAAGAGACCTTTCTTACAGATATAAAGTCCTTTTCTTACACATTGCTTCTTATGACAAAAACCGAAATTATTTTTTTTCTCGAAAACGGTTAGAGATACCCCTATCGAACTTTATATCATTAAAATCAGAAAAATCATAGCTTTGCAATGAGCTATTAATATAAAGGGTGTCCCATTGAAAAAAATCAGACTTTGGTCAATATCTCAAAATCGGCGCCAAATAGAAAAAAACCGAGAACGTCCCTGAATTCTGTTTTAAAAAGTGGTTCCAGAAAGTTTTTACGGAAATCAATTATTTTCATAAACAAAAAAGTTATGAAGGGTTCACAATATTGCTCAAAATCGAGAATCGCCCTCTAGCGGCTAAACGGTTGAAGATATCAAAAAGCGGTTTGCACCAATCGAAATTTCATGAAATTTGAGCCTCAGAGTGGGGGGTTCATTTTTTTCTATCTCTAAAAATAAAGGGTGTTTCCATAAGGAAGTGTCCAAATTGGCCCACCCTGTACACATACATATGACCAATTATTTATTTCTTTATTATTTTTCCATAAACAGCTAATAATTAAAATTGTTATATGTATTTACTTTTCCTCTTTTACTTACTACCTACATACTTTGTCAAATGACAAAATCTTGTTGATACACATGAAGCAATCTCGGTAACTCGTTTTCTTTTGAGTTCGCAAAGTGAAAGTTTTTCTTGCAGCAGGAAGAAATGTGTAGATTTACTAGATCATCACATAGGTACCTATTTATTTTTCAGTGTCTAATCTAAGGTACCTAATGCTACTAGAAAAAAGTATCTATTGCTAGCTCGGTAATATAATAAATAATATTTGAAATGCCTAGATAAATAGTCAGTTATTTTTCCTACTTACATTCCGGTATTTAATTAACTTGCACTAGCGATAAAAACAACATTAAACTTAACATCCTTAATCAAAATATTACCGATTACGAACATGAATTGGCATATTCTGACAGTAACGAGAATCTAGAATGTGGTTCATTATTTAAATAAATTACCAAGGCTATCTTATGCATAGTATTTTACTATTTTATCTGAAAACAAAAACGTTATTGCGCGAACGTAAAATCGTTTATTAAAACGTGTTGTCTTCTCTTTTCAAGTTTAGTTTAGTCACACTCAATTAACGTTAGTGGTGGCTGGAGGCCCAGAGATAAGTGATACATTTTGGAAATAAGTAGTGACAGATATTTCGCATTGAAAGGGTATCCATTAATTTATTTAATTTTTATTATTTGTAGAAAAAAAATATGTAGGTCTGTTCGCATAGAAATCACAAACCAGTCAGAGAGAATTTCATTGGTTGAAACTAGTTTTCTGACTGTTTTCAACCAATGAAATTCGCTCTGACTGGTTTGTGATTGTGATTTCTGTGCGAACAGACCGTATACCTATTTGGTGATATGTACAGTGCACAGTGCCCGCGGAAAAGTCTGCACCATATGGGAAATTTTTTCATGCTCATCCTTACTTCAAATCGGTTTTCGGCATTAGGTTCTGCATGACTGAAAACCAAAAAAAATACCTAAAATTTTTGACTCGAGACTTGCCTCACATCTGTCAAATGCCATTTGAAAATTTCAAACAAGGAAAAGTGGCATTTTTATAAAAAATATGAAAAAATTTTATAAGAAAATATTGTTCCAAATGACATTTAGGAGTAGTTTATAAACAAACAATTTGAAATGTCAATTTGAGAAATCTAAAATTTTTAAAATAGTCCAGAGGCGTATCAAAATTTTAATAGAAATATTTCTTTTTGATGTTTAAACTCTTAATTAGATAATTAAGATTTAAAAAACCATAAGTCAGATACAAACTAATTATTTTAGAGGAATGATCGCGAAAGAAATCCTAAAAATATTATTTTTCCGTGGATATTCGAAAAAAATGAAAAAATAAAAAATCTTTTTTTTTTTCAAAGCAAAAATATCAAATTAGACTATAAATGTAATTTGGAACAATATTTTCTTATAAAATTTTTTCATATTTTTTATAAAAATGCCACTTTTCCTTGTTTGAAATTTTCAAATGGCATTTGACAGGTGGGAGGCAAGTCTCGAGTCAAAAATTTTAGGTGTTTTTTTGGTTTTCAGTCATGCAGAACCTAATGCCGAAAACCGATTTGAAGTAAGGATGAGCATAAAAAAATTTCCCATATGGTGCAGACTTTTCCGCGGGCACTGTATATCTACATAAGATAGTGAAAGGAAATCAAAATACATGTGGGGTATTTTTCCATATATTTTTGCAATAATAAAATTACCTACCTATTGCAAATTCGAGTGCAAATTAATACTGGATTTTTGGGGCATAGTTATCAAAACCTGCTTGCTATCAAAACATTTCTTAGAACTTATAGTGTTAACCTAAAAATTAAATATAGATTAAAAAGGATACAGCAAACATAATGCATAATTATTAAAAGTCAAAGAAAAACTGGAAGAATGGGATGTGAAAATGTGAACCCAGAAATCTTAGATTAAAAAAAAAAGAAAAACCGCACCAAAAAGATCAAAAGAGAAAAATAATTAAATTATGGTATGGTATTTTGTAAGAGTGACACAAATATCTTCAAGGAATCCAAAGTGGTGGATATATTTGAGTACTTTAATGATAAAGCCAGCCAGTATTGGTTGACATTTTAGGAAAAGATAAGCTCTAAAAAAAGTTTTGTTTTGAAATTAAATACCAAAATCACCAGCAATCAATTAACAATCAATAAACACTTGGGGAATTTCGATTTAATTATAGTCAGTTATCAATATTAAATATTAGTAATGGGACGGAGAAAAAATCCGCAATTCTTAAGAAGAATAATTACGCAAGCTAAACATGAATGTTATTTGCAATATGTTTGTTCCATTCGCTTTCTGTTAGTTGGCAACGAAAGTTCCTCGGGCAAACAGGGTGCTTAGTGTGTCACGGTCTTTTATAATTTTAATTGATAGATTTATTACTGTGAGTACGTAGAACCATTGTGTAGGACTAAAACTTATAATTTTTTTTTTGCAAATGGATATATAATATGTATGAAATTTTATGGTATAATGTTTGGAAAAATTTGTCGCGGAAATATTTGTCTCAATATTAAATAACTTTAGTCACGAGCAATTGTAATGAAGTCGATTTTTGTTTCAGATGTGTCCAATATCGGGCTTTTTCCAGTCCATCTTAGTTATATTTACATTACTATTGGTTTGCCATGCCGTTTTAGTCAAAAGTTTTTTAACCATTTCATTCAATCCAAAAAATGTAACTGTTTACATGTACGATAGCGTTACCATAGAATATAATGCTACAATTACAGGTAAATATTTTTTTGTTGCAATAATTGGCCCTTAATTTTTATTGTTTTTGCATTGTATTTTTTAGAGAACAATAGTGAATGTTATTTGTACAGTGAAAATCCTCGTGTAGCTACTATAGATAAAGATATAATTTTGCGGAACCCAGAAGAAAGAGGAACATTTAATTTAACAGGAAACTTTTTAGGTAAATAAATTCAAATTAGAATGCAGTAGCCCTGGTATCTCCCCGTGTTCAGAGATAAAATATTGCAAATTGTTGTCTTAATATTATAGAAATGTTTTGAAGGTCAATTTTGTTTTTTGAATACATTCCATTCAACCTGGAATTAACCAGCCAAGTTGTGAGATTTTTGTCAAATTAAAATCAAGCTAAGAAAAAAACACATAGTTTTACGTCTGAAAGATTTTTTACATCAGTCTAAATACCCCAACTTCTTTGAAAGTTAGCTGCGTTTTTGAGTAAAGCTTCCTTGTGAAACTAGAACTATTAGGTACTAACTTGGATTTTCTAAGAAAATCGTTATATTTTTGGTCTCTTTTTACATTTTTTGCAAATCTGTCCTGCATCTAATCGAAAAATGACTACAACATTTTTATTCTAGCTTAATTTCATACATGAGTGTTCATCTATTGAAATTAAATAAAATCTTAAATCCCACAGGTCAAAGTATAATATCATGTAGAGACCCGAAAACAAATCTCAAAGTAACCCAAGACCAATTAGATGTTAAATGCATCAGAAAACAGAGACTGATAGATAGAATTTTCACTGCTTCTACAGCAACGCTGGTGGCAATAATTTACATTAACTTTGGTTGCGTGGTCCAATGGCCGGAGCTCAAAAATCTAATCAAAAAACCTGTGGGGCCAGTTATAGGATTTTGTGGACAATTTATTCTGATGCCAGTGGTAAGTGGAAACATCTTTCGTTTATAATTTCAAATTTTTTTCCAAGCAAACACAAAATGCATAATAAAACTTTATTTATACAAAAGCGACATGTGAAATTTCCATATTGGTATGATTTTATAAGAATATACGTATAAAATTTTCGGGAATAACCATTATGATGATTTCCTTTTGCATAAAATATGCTGTGCATCAAAACAATGACTATTTTTATGTTATAATAACAGTGAAACTGTAAAGGGTAACAGAATGTATTTTGTTAAATATTTATCCTAGTGGCTGGCGAGTATACTATTCCTCACCCAATTTATGTAGGCAATAACAAAGCGTTATAGATGGTATACCCTCCGAGCTTCTGAAATATGGAATAAACAAAACTGAATTATCATGTTTGTAAAGATAGGGGCACTAATTTGGATATTAGCAATCAATATTAGTGAAATTTGCCGAAAATTGAAAAATGGTTATTATTCTCCTTATACACAAAAAGGAAGACCAAACGACATCTGACAATTACCAAGGAGTAAACGTGACGTATTAAGTATTTAGTGAAAAAGTTTTTTCCGGGCTATAATGCCGTGGTCCATTAATATTTCTACCTAATGTTTCGTCTACTGCTGCGGTAGACATCTTCAGAGGCGGAGTCTGGTGTAAAAATGTTTGGTTCTATCCATTCGAAGACATCATAGCAAATGTGGAAGCCAGCATACGCAAATTACCTCAAACCACTGCGGAGGAAATACGCAATGAAACCTCTAGGATTCTACGACTTGCGAAACCTCCAAAGTTCAACCTGACACACGAGGAAAGGAAAGCTATTCGCAGCCTGAATACAGACAAGAACATACTAGTCCTGCCTGCGGATAAAGGAAACGCAACGGTAATCATGAACGTGACTGACTATGAATCAAAAATTTCCGAACTGCTAGACCCCTCCACCTTCAGAAAGCTGAAGCGCAATCCCACTGCTTCTATATTGCGAAAAACCAATCAACTCGTCCGAGCACTACCGTTGGACCCGGAAAACATAAGGAAACTCATCAAATCTGAGGCTTTACCACCTAGAATATATGGGCTTCCTAAGATTCAAAAACAGGCAACCACTCAGGCCAATAATTGTAAGTGCAATAGATTCGCCTACATACAGCAGCCAAATATCTCACCACCCTCCTTCAGCCACGGATCGGCCAATCCAGCTCTTATGTTAAAGACTCAACTCATTTCATCAAAAAGATCAGTGACATCACTCTACTACCAAACGTCATTCTGGTTAGTTTTGATGTCGTCTCATTGTTTACTAAGGTACCAGTGAATCAGGCCTTAGAGTATCTGACAGATGTTTTTCCGGAGGAAATCAACAACTTATTTCATCACTGTCTGACGACTACATACTTTCAATGGCAAAATGAATTCTTTGAGCAGACAGATGGAGTCGCAATGGGGAGTCCACTCAGTCCGGTTATCGCCAACTTCTACATGGAACACTTCGAACAAATGGCCCTGCGAACAGCCACAAAGAAACCTTCTTGTTGGTTTCGCTATGTAGATGACACATTTGTTGTTTGGAACTATGGAGAGGCAGAGCTCGAAAACTTCCTTAATCATCTAAACTCAATAGAACCCAGGATACAGTTTACGATGGAAGTTGAGGACAACAAAATTGCATTCCTCGACGTCCTTTCAGAAAGATTATCCTTAGGTAAACTGGGACACAGAGTATATAGGAAGCCGACGCATACGGATAGATACCTCAACAAGGAATCCAATCACCATCCTAGGCAAAAGAGAGAAGTCATTAAAACTCTATCTGAAAAGGCAATCCGGATTTGTGAACCCAGATACCTTCAGGACGAGATGCAACACCTAAAATCAGCACTTGAAGGAAATGGGTACTCCAAGCAGGAGATAAATAGAGCCATAAGACCGAAGCAACAGCGCACAAATAACAAGGAACCAGCACAGAACCTTTGTTTCCTATATCTAAAATGTCACAGATCGCATAGGACGAACGCTGGAAAGACACAACGTTAAGTCTATCTACAAGCCCACAAGAACAATTCAGCAAAGTCTAAGATCGGCCAAGGATCTTAGGGCACACTAGGGAATTCCCTGTTCTTGTGGATCTGTCTATGAAGGAACAACCAAACGCTCTATCAACACCAGGGTCAAAGAGCACAAAAGAAACTGTCGGCAGGGACAAATAGATAGATCAGCAATCGCCAAACACATGTTAACACAAACAAACCATGTCATTCGTTTCGACCAGACTCAAGCATTGGATAGAACCAAACATTTTTACACCAGACCCCACAGAGAAGCCATAGAGATACAGAAACACCACAACAACTTCAACAGAAAAGAAGAGGGCATGAACCTCAACAAAAGCTGGTTGCCAGTTCTCCGAAAAAACAAAGACCCTTCCTTTCCGAGAACGAGACAAGGAAAATAGCGTAATACAAGCCACGCCCACAACCCTGGATATAAATAACGCAGGTCCAACAACGTCGAACGTCGAATCCAGTCATCGGAGGAACACGGAAGAGAACACTTCGTCCTCTACCACACCGCCGCTGAAGATGTGTAGGTACCGCAGCAGTAGACGAAATGTTAGGTAGAAATACTAATGGACCACGGCATTATAGCCCAGAAAAAAAACTTTTTTACTAGATTTGACCGGCCGTGAAAGTCTTCATTCTGTATAAAGTATTGGCTCATATATTTTATACACTATTAAACTATATACAGGGAGTCCCAGAATGTGGGCAATCTCCCGGATTCAGATAGAACACACAAAATTAACATGACAACTTCCCATAAAAAAAAAGTTCCTACGGCCTCCCCTACGAAGTTACGTGCCCCTAAATGACGCCTCTGAAAATCGTTTTTTGTTAATTACTTTCAAATACTTTGTGTGATTTTTTAAAATTCAATATGATGGATACTCGTGGCGCTTGGCACTCGTTTATGTATCACTCAAACTGTAGCCTCAATCTCCTAAGGCCTAAAATAACAAGGATAGCTTCTTAACCCATCTTTCGTATAATCAACCCATCTTTCGTATAATCAACCGGTATACCTGATGTCCACTAGAATTTTCGAGAATGGAATTTAACGGTGGAATAATTTAGCAAATTACGGATCGATCTAGAATTGGACAGCTTTTTGCAGAAAGGAACCAACCCACAAAAACAGGATTTCTATTATAACACCATAATATCGTGTCAAAGGCCATAACCTTTTCTGCAAAAAAGATCCAAACCGATTCGTATATCATAGTGCTATCTGTCAACATACGAACCAACCCACCAAGTAACTTTGCCAAGTTAAACTACCTGCAGAAGGGATCCAAGCGGCTTGGTTCTTTTCTGCAAAACGAAAAGTCTGGAATATGGGATGGGAGGTGATATAAAAACGACCATTACTGTTTTTGTTCTTGAATCGAATATTATTGATGAATATCGATCCTAAAAGCAGATCTGGGAGAATCTTCTATTATCGCAAGCACTCCTTTCCTTTTCTATCAAACTAGAGGGTTGGTTTCTTTCTGCAAAACTTGACACACTTGATTCCGAATGGGTGTAAGCAGTTTTATGAAAATATCACAGGTACGGATATGATGGACGATCTTGATGGGTTCAGTGGTGCTCCTGATTTTGAAGTGGAACCGTTACTGGATGAATATATTGTATTTTGCAGTATTTTGTTGATTTTATACCTACCTCAATAGAGTATCTGTAATAAAAATTTGACTAATTATATTTTGCAGAAAGGAGCCAACCCACAAAAACCTAAACATTTCAGGAACAGCAATATATTTTAAATTTAATTATTATTTATACTGCATATTCATATTTTTTGCCTACTTATGACATTAGTTGGAATTGCCTTCAATATGAACTGAATTTTTTAATATTGTCAGAACTTTAAGCCTTAATTACTCATTTGCATTTTTTTGGGGATGGCCCTTTTCTGCAGAAAGCTGTCCAATAGGGTACTTGCATGGAAAATTAAATTGATTATTGTTTATTGCAAACTGTAGGAAATCGAAAAAAAATCGTTACTTTTTTTTCATTTCGCCCAAATATGATTATTTCGGAAGTTATAAAAATATTAAGTTTTGTATATATAGATATACTGAGCATGTGCGACGTCATAAAGTATTATACCTGATGACGTCATAGGCATATTTCATAGCGTTGTATCTCCGTCAATTTTTGACTAACAAGAAAAAGAAAAAACACGTGTTGACTTATTTTTCATGGACTATCGAAATCTGCAATAAAAAAAATTGATGCAAGGGGCCTATATCGCTTTTATCGGATATTCCGGAGCAATTAGAGAAAATTACAAAAGGATCTAAGTGGTAGTGGAATAAAAACAAATGTCGGTCTAGTCAGTCAGTTGGGAATCAATATAGTGGAATAGTCAGTTTTGAATTGGACAGAAAGTTGATCAGTTAAGTATAATGATAGTCTAGTTTCGTGAACAGTTAGGGAGCAATAAAAGTCAGAAACTCAAAGGCAAAAGATAGAAAAAAGCGGATCCTGGTCCCTGGAACATGCAAGACCTGGGTCTTAGCGCCAAAGATGATTATGATTATAAATAAGGAAACATCTGAACTTAGTGAATTTTGAAGTCAAATATCTGAGAATTGTTACGGAAAATTAAGTGTAAAGATGAGACTTTCCTCCTTATCTTATCTTATCTTATCTTTGCAAATTATCACCCATGCTCTCCCCGATGCCTTCTTATGTACTAAGTATAGATCAACCGTCAATATTCAATATTTGCTGGAATGGAATTTAACGTTGATGGAATATTCTAGCGGATTACAAAACGATTGATAATTGATAGTCCAAGAAACGGGGATCTGAAAAGAGGGTTTACTTCAACATAATTAGAAGTTAAATTTTTTTGGGGGGGATCGGTTCATTTTCATGTGCTTAATAACATATTAATTTTGCGACCTTGTACTTCCATAGGGTTTTTAGGGGTAAGGATGGTCCATCCCTTTGAGCAGCGTTCTCCATAAACCGCAAATTACCCCTAAAAACCACCCCTAACTAAAAACCCTAGGGAAGTACAAGGTCGCAAACTTAATATGTTATTAAGCACATGAAAATGAACCGATCCCCCCCAAAAAATTTTAACTTCTAATTATGTTGAGGTAAACTTCCTTCATTGCTTGGCCTATGACTTTAATCGGCAAATCCTAGAAGGAAATTATCTACAAAATCACAGAAGGATCGAAGTGCTATGAAAGGGGTCGGCCACGTTAGGGCGAGTCCGTTGTGAACCAAGCAGTTAGTTCAGCAGTTACAATGCTATAGAGTTGAGCCTAATTTGAGTGATACGAAGTGTTTCTTTTAATGTGGCTAACTTTTGACGTCATTTCTGTCTTATTGTTTCAAATAAAATTTATTTAAACTTGGAGAAAAACTCTCACGTATCTACGAGCCCGCACACAAATATGTATATGAATTCTTTAGGAAATTAGGTGAAAAAATCACAAACTTGTGGACTGAACCGCTTTTCGGCTTTAAATTTCTGCTAACGTTTTGCTGATTTGGTTTATCATCATCAGCAATCAAGATTTTAGATAAAAGAATGTAAAAAATGTACAAAAGGATGAATGGAAGCTATCTCCAAATAATTATTTTTGTACTATATTTAAGTAAATATTTGTTTTATCAATTCTAGCTCAGTTACCTTATCGGCTACGTCTTGTTTCCTGATGATCCAGCCATGCGCCTTGGCATGTTTTTTACAGGAGTATCGCCTGCAGGTGGCGCTTCAAATATATGGACCGCTATTTTAGACGGCAACATCGACTTGTCAATTTTGATGACCACGATAAGTACCATTGCTGCTTTCGCTATGATGCCTTTGTGGCTGTTCACACTTGGAAAAACTATATTTAAAGATGCTCATTTAGAAGTAAGAAGCCCTTCTATATTTATTATTTTTAATTTAATGCTTAGGAATGCTGCTATGTTCACAATGTATTTACACTACATTTATAACAATCAGAACCAGTGATAAATGCAGAATATTCCCTGATAATTTTTTCTATTTTAGGTTCCATATACTCATATATCGTCCTATGTGTTCGCTTTAGTCGTTCCTCTAGCCTTGGGATACTTAATAAATAGGTATTTAAAAAAAGCTGGCACATTTATGGGTCGAATATTGAAAGGATTTTCATCATTATTGATATTGTTCATTATTATATTTGCTATCGTTACGAACTTGTATCTGTTTGAGCTATTCTCGTGGAGGGTAAGTAAATATCTTTTAACACCATTTAAATATGAAGACAATTTATTTTCCTAGATTGTAGTGGCAGGTATGGGCCTTCCCTGGTTAGGATATTTGCTCGGTTATATATTAGCAGTAATCCTAAGGCAACCTGCACCAGATGCGTTGGCTATAGCTATAGAAACTGGAATACAAAATACAGGCATAGCTATATTTTTGTTGAGATTCGCCTTGGAACCTTTACATGCTGATCTTACAACAGGTAGGCTAGAACTTACTAATAAATTTATTTGGAAATATTGACAAAAAATATTTATGTTTTTAGTTGTTCCAGTGTCTGTTGCCATAATGACACCAGTACCTTTGTCTGTTATTTACCTTTACAAGAAGATAGTGCAAAGGTAAGTCCAGGATTATAAATTTTAATCTTAGACTAAAGTAATAGTTATTTGAGTTTTTCTTCTAAAACGAAATATGTAGATGAAATCGGCTTTCAAACTTTCTGGCTTTAATGACTTGACGAAGTCAATTTTGGAAGTGGAGTGAGTACCAGAAAAGTTGAAGCTTTAGTTGTCTGTTGAAAATTGGTGCCATTTTTGTTCAGACTTGCCTGTAATTTTCATTGAATTCAATAATTTGAAGACCTCATCAGGAACCCCAATATTTTGAAGATTTTGCTAACTAATATATTAAATATGAGAGCAAAAAGATAATTTGGTGTCGAATTTAACCTCCATTCCTACCATTTCATCAAAATGCTATCAATTGAATGCTAGAATATTATTAAGATGTGGAAAAGAAATATTGTACCATTTGACATTTTCAAGGCATGAGGCTGTTAAAGCGCCATAAATGAAAGTTTTGATTACTGAGATACTTGATGCAATTAGCAATTCACTATACATTACCTTACCTTGAAAGGAGGCAAACTTATTATTGTTGACCATCAATGGGACCTTAGATACCTTAATATTTGAAGGACCCTAAGGAGATCGATCCACCAAACGTGAATTGGTTAATCTGCTGTTGGTACTTTGAATACAATTTGATCCTTGGTCAAGATAATTGGAGCCATGACCTTATAATAACTGTACAAGGTGTACGGAGGGACTGTATTTTGACAATGGTAATAAATAAATAAATCGAAAACGGATGGATATACCGCAATGCTGTTTCTCTAAAATTTTCCAAATCAAAAGTCCATAAAATGCTCTTTCAAACGAGACCAAAATCATAAAAATTGGTTCAGGAGATATAAAGATGTAAATATTGAAAAATGCATTGCCCCCCTTATTATAACAGATACGAGAAAATAGGTCTGTTCTCACAGAAATCACAAACCAGTCAGAGCGTTTTTGATTGGTGCAAATCGCTAACAACCATTTTTCTGACTCTTTTCAACCAATGAAATTCGCTCTGACTGGTTTGTGATTTCTGTGAGAACAGACCTAATGTCGCAGAGCAAAATGATGCGGTATTACCCAAGTTATCAAATGATGTTTTCAAAGCTATGGCTCATCTTTCAACTTTCCAACCTTCCTTTAGAGTGAATTGTGTTTCTTTATAGCAGTTACGACCCCTAGCGGTCGAATTACGAACTTCGAAATAATTTCTTACCATTTCTCTTGTCGAGATACAGCCGCTTCTCCGGAACCACCCAGTGTACAATCAAAATGTTACAAGCCACAGTCAAACCTCTGATATAACCTTAACCTATGACTAAATGGAGTGCCCCCAAAAGAATATTTCGTAATTTCCGATAGCTCATGGTTGAATTTTTTGTTATCAGAAAAGATGAGATGATTAGCCACTAATTACCTGCAATTTTTGTTTCAGGTTTTGGCCAGCATACAATAAAAGTGGAAATATAACCGAGGCGGCTGATTTTTGCCAAAGGGCCAAGTCTTCAACTAACTATAGACAGACCCATGGAAGACAGGATAGCGCTGTCGCTTGTCTTAGTTAGATTTATGTTTTTTTCATTAAAACTCAATACATTGTAGAGAAATTCAGGGTTGTGTTTAGAAAAGTGAAATTTATTATTATTGTTAGAATGTGTGCTTTTTTTGTAGAAATCATAATTCATTTGTAGAAACTTTATGTTATGTGGTAGTGGTAGTTTTAGAAGATTGATGCTATCAGAAGTAAGTATTCTGTTTTGTATGATTCCAATTGTTTTCATTAAGAATCTGTTCATTCACCATTTGATAAGAAATTTGTTCCTAAAATAAGAAATATCAAATAGTTGATCCCTTGAATAGATATAAGTATTAAACTGGCTGTACTATCAAGCTCCAATAACTACTTTTTCAGTGTCATTGATAGGAGTATCCATTTTGCATGTTTACATTAAATTTATTGTATCAAAATATAAATTTATACAAACTTTGTTTCAAATTCCTACTTATACAATAAATTAGTGTCAAAATGCACTCCTAATTTTATATAAATGGCATTGTTTTTGTTATTTTTATTATTTGTTATATTTGTTGAAATAAAAATATTTTTGTAAGTTGAAATCTGTTGTTTTATTTATCATGCACACATTGATATTCCAGAAAAATTGGATATTTTATACTGAGAGTTGTGGTAAAAACGGTGTATATTTATGAAAAACAATTGGATAGTTTAAGGACTATGCCTCTTCTTATAGAGATGCTCGTGTCACCTAATGATGCTACTGGTTGTTCAAACTTTGGAGGTGCCTGAGGTTGATATAATATAAGCGTGATATAAATAAAATAATGCAAAATCTGAATATAGAATATAAAAAAGGCTGGGAAGCCGTTATTTTGGATAGGGCATCACTACCATCTATTTACATGAACTTAACAGGATGTTCTGGGAATACTGCCTAAAATTAGTTTGGCAATAGGTAGGGGATTAACAGGGCCGGTTCTAGCCCTTTGGCCGCCCTCGTGCAAGAGCTTGTTTTGCCGCCCCCCGTGAGGAATTTTTTGCTTCGGGGGAGGGGAATTTTTCACATGCTAATAATAGTTTTCACAGATTATTGTTGGTTATCGCGGCTCCGTCAAGTTAGCCCCCCACATTCGAATTTTCTTACAAAATTTTAACCACTTACTGCGCTCGAAGTGTGCTTTACGGTGTCGATGATATTTTGAACTGTGCCGTTCCGATACCAAAGTTATAGGAAAAACAACATGAGGGGGTCATTTTCCGATAAAATCCTACTGGGGGCTAACTTAACGCTCAGTCACCCCAAAATTTTGGAAATCAGATCAAACAAAAATGGATTCTTATGCAATCTGAAGTGTGCTGAACTGTGCTGTATCAGGTTTTTCGGAAAAATTTCATATTCGATTATTTTCCGACAAGATCCTACTGGGGGGGGGGCTAACTTGACACTCAGCCCCCCAAAAATTTTGGAAATCAGGTCAAACAAAACTGGATTCTTATGCGATCTGAAGTGTCCTGTATCAGGTTTTTCTGAGAATTTTCATATTTGGTGATTTTCCGACAAAATCCTACTGGAATCCTAACTTTGATACTCAGCCTGCCTGAAATTTTGGAAATCAGATCAAACAAAAATGGATTCCTATTCAATTTGAAGTGTGCTAAACTGTGCTGTATCAGGTTTTTCTCAAAATTCCCATATTCGGTCATTTTCTGACAAAATCCTACTGGGGGGTTAACTTGACGCTCAGCCCCCCCAAAATGTTGATAACCGAATCAAACAAAAATCCATGCGGCACTGGTGTGGCACACTCCAAGCGCTTAAATATTTGCACTGGTGCACATTGGATAAGAATCCATTTTTGTTTGATTCAATTTCAAAAATACAAAGTTTGAGAAAAACCTGATACAGCACAGTTCAGCTCACTTTCGATTACATAAAAATCCATTTTTGTTTGATCTGATTTCTAAAATTTTGGGGGAGCTGATCACCAAGTTAGCCCCCCAGTAGGATTTTGTCAGAAAATTATCAAATATGAAAATTTTCAGAAAAACCTGATACAGCATAGTTCAGCACACTTCAGATTGCACAAGAATCCATTTTTGTTTGATCTGATATCCAAAATTTTGGGGGGGCTGAGCATCAAGTTAGCCTCTACTGATTTTTTTATAGCTCTGGTATCGGAACGGCACAGTTGAAAATATCATCAGCACGCTTTAGTAAAGCACATTTCGAGGACAGTAAGTGGTTGCAATTTTGTTAGGAAATTCGAATGTAGGGGGGCTAACTTGACGCAGCCGGTTATCGCTAGCAGGTGATTGGCCGAGGCGTTTGTACTACTTTGCGGGTGTGCTGGTCCCACTTGGCAGGTAGCAAGCGGCCCAACCACTGGCCGCATTTTCATGCAATATAGTTTAAAGGTCATTGTCTCTATTTTTTTAAAAAATCTGTATAAAAAAAAAAAAAAAATATACCTAGATAGAATATGCCGCCCCCTCGGGCTGCCGCCCTCGTGCGGCGCACGAGATGCACGAGTGTAAAATCCGGCACTGGGGATTAAGGCTCAAAGTTATCCTTTTTCTCAAGATTTTGGAGGGGGTAACACTCCAATTTACCATGGACCTACAGAGTCTTCTAGAATATGGCCTCAAATTGGTTTTGGAATCTGTCGGAAGTCAAGGCTTGACAATATCGAAAAACTCAGTAAAATCAAGATTTTGGATGGGCTACCAATACCATATTTAGGCAGGGACCTAATAAAGTGTCCTAGGATAGATATTCCCTTGGACCGGTTCAAAAATCGGTCGGGGATGTCAAAAAACTCAATAAAAAATTAAAAAATAGAGTTTTTATGCTTTTTCTCGAGATTTTGGATCCTTCTCTCAGCAGGGACGTAACAGAGTGCTCTAGCAATACTGCGTCAAATTGGTTTTAAAATCGGTAAGGGATGAAGCGTTGAAAATCACTAATCCATATGGTTTGTTGCTGTAAAGTTAATTACCTACGTACAAATAACACGATGTGGTATTGTAAAATTTTTATGTTGGAAATTTTCCAAACCTTTTTGTTACACATTTTAAAAATATATTTTCACATACACTGCAAAAAAAATCGTTCCTAATATTGACGAACGGCGATTGTTATTTTTTTGTCAATAATTCAATGAAATATTTCATCAATCCAATTAAACAGTGTTCATAGCTTAATTACTTCGCTCCTAAATGTAACGAATTTAGGTTCATTAATATCGTAAAACCATGAATTTTTATTTTCCATTGTTCGAACGTACACTTTCATCAGTATAAGGAACTTTATTTGAAAACCACTGATTCTATTCCTTGATCTTATGAATAATCCTACATAAACCACATTCATTGTACTGATGATTATTTCTTACCCCTAAAAATTTGTTCATCATGCTTATGGAAATTTTTTCATTGTCAATAAGTTATGCATCGAATCAATGATCAAGAGTTCATTAATTGATGAATATGTTCCATCAGCTTGACGTATGTGTTAGTGATTTGATGAACGGTCATAAATAACGAACCTTACTCATTAATTCAATAAATTTTATAGTTTTAATCTAGACCTATTCGTCATGCTAACGTATAGAATTCATTAAACACACCCACACTCCATATTATCGACAGTATATCGTAAATTATCCGGAAATTATATTGTGTGTTGGTGTTGGATTCAACTATTTTTGCGAGAAATTCGGAATTCAGGTATGCATTGAGTGGAATCACTTTTTATCTATAGCGTACAGACAACATTGCAGAACGTAGGACACTACCCGGAAGCCATCTGTCATAGAAAGCCTAGTAAAATACCAGCAGCGATGCCTAAGAAGGATCCTACCGATTAACTCTTAGTGTTTTAGAGGAGGCCAACACAACTAGCATGGAAGCCCTTATCATCAAGCACCAACTTCGCTTGACAGGTCACCTCGTCCACGTGCCCGAAACACGTCTTCCACGACAGATTCTCTTTAGTCTAAAGGAAATTTTGACAAAGTGCCGCATCGATACCAGCAACTGGGAGTCGAGGACAAATGATAGGCCCTCCTGGAGTCAAGTAGTCCACGACAGACAACAAAGTTTTGAAGAATAGCGATGCAGACACGAGACCGAAAAGAGGGACCGCAGAAAGGAGCAAGAGATCAGAAGAAGAGACAATGTGTTAAAGAATGGGTGTGCCAAGACTGTGGAAGAGTGTGCGAGTTGTGTAGTACCTTGATTTCTGCTGTTAATTGGTTCGTTTTTCTTCGGGACCTAGAACAACTCCCCGGTTCCCAGAGTGTGCGGCTCCATAGAATTGGTTTATATAGCCATCAGAAAAACGCACAATCGACGAAGAATAGAATTTTCTATTCTCGGTATTGAGTGATTGCCTATGATGATGATGATGATTCAACATACCTAATAAGGAGGGTTTAATCACAGTTCAGCTCGGGTTAACTAGAATTCATGAATATTTTTTTTCATGCAACTGAGCCTAGGAATGCATTCATCATATGTTAAGTCAATGAAACCGGATACATTAAATTGAAAAATCGATTCATTAAACCAATTTTATCTGTACATTATATTGAAGAAGTTATTTCACTCAGGCAACGAATTCTATACGTCAAAATGATAGAATCCTTACTCTGCGACAATTAATTCAACCATTGAATCAATGAATCAAGAAACACTGAATCAATTTTCTCGGTTCATTGGACCAATGAACAAATCCGTTAAAGTAGCAACTTGCTTTTTTTCATCTACTCAACGAACAGCTTTTCATAATATTAACAAATTCGTTCATCGGCTCAATATTAATGACGAGATTCACTGCCTTAATGCACTTTTTCGTTATATTTGTGTACCTTTTTTTTTCAGTGTAGGTCTTGTGCTTAGATACGGTTTCCTAAGGGAATAGAGGTTGCTCCAGGAAAATACACCATATACCGTATAAAACACAGTTTGGCTCTATTACATGCGCCATACGAGACCGACACTTAAAATGCTCCATATGATTCATAGAGATTCACCGAAAGTGCGTATAAGGGCCGTAACGATCCGCGAGAGGAAAACCGTTTACGCTCCCTGACGCTACGAACCAAATGATCATACTTTTACAATCACATTCTAAATAGAAAAATGAAATACTACCAATAAACCTAAATCGTGAACCATAATAAAATTATTCTAAAATCTATTTGAACCAAACACTAAGCAAATAATAATATTTAAGTGTATTTCGTATTTTGTTCTTCCACCTTGATCTACTCTTGCGACTAGAAAACTACTTCAAGCATCACTGGACTTGAACCCATCTGTAGAGACTGCTGTGGATCGATGGCCATTTTCTTTGGATATGGAACAATATTGGTTATCTCTGGACCATGAAAGAGAGTGAGATCTTCTTCTTTTGGATTTGGATCTTTCCTCCCGCCGATTATTGTTCGAAGTAGGTTTGGAGAGGTCTTCATAGGCTTTTTTTTGTTTTCCCGAATCCAGAGTTGAAGACCCCGGATCTTCTAGTTGAACTACTGCGTAATCAATCTGGAAGTAATCCTTATGCTTTTTGATCCAGGTTCTGTTCCCACTTTTTAAATTGCTGCAGTTGCGCGACCTGTGGCTTCTAGATTTAGATCTGCAAACATGCCTTCTTTGGCATAACTCTCTACATATACTCTTGCATTTACCTTCAAAAACTCTCATGCGTCCTCCATTAGATACTGTGGCCCCTAATTTTTAGTCACTGCGACCAACAAATACCACCAATCCTTTTTTCTTGTCTTGATGGTGGTCGTATAACTACTGCACCCTGCCAAGCCTTCATCCCCTACCGATTTCAGAATCAATTTGATAGAGCGACAGATATATCGACAAATTAAGGTGCCCCATTTTCGCATATATGCACCGACGCACAAATCGTGAATTGCCTTCATTCTACTCAAAATGGATGTACTTTTCAACCCTCCTCGAGGCTTGTATGCGAAAAATGGTGCCTAACTCTGTCACTATCTGACGGTCAATGAGGCAGTATTCTAGAACATTCTGAAGATGGTTCCTAGTGTACCCCATCCAAAATTTTGGGGAAGACGATAAACACGTTAGTTTCATCTAGTTTTTTGATACCTTTACCTCTTACCTCCTACCGATTTCAAAACCAATTTGAGGTAGTATTCTAGAACACCCTGTATTTAGTTGAAAAATTGTAGTCGTACCCCATCAAATCTAGAGGAAATAGTTAAAAACGCCTTGCAAGTCTTTTTTGTGAAAAAATATTTTTTAAATTCAGATTTCCCACTTTAGTTATATCATAATTTTTAATAATACTTACAGGGTGTTTCCTTATATTTTGGCCCTTACCTACAGCTTTAGCTATACTTTAAATATGAAAGTTGTAGGGTTTTATGTCTATTACCTTTTGCGAATATCAAAATAGGCAATTGACGGGTGCCAACTGTCACAATGACAAACACTTGCATTTTTCAAATAGAACACCCTGTATATTTTTGGCTAGATTGATAGATTTTTATCTTCTGATTCCAAATATACCATATATGTTGATATTTGGATCAGTTGTTTTTATTTGAAAATGCATTTACATCACCCTCAATTTAATCTGTCCTGGTTTCTTCTATCAATGATGAGACTTGCTCAATGCAATTTTAAAATTAAATAGCGCAAAAACAACTGAACCAAACATCAACATATAGGGTATATTTAAAATCAGAAGAAAAAAAGCTATAATTCTAGCCAAACATATACAGGGTGTTCCATTTGAAAAATGCAAGTGTTTGTCATTGTGACAGTTGGCACTTGTCATTTGCCCGTTTTGACATTCGCAAAAGATAATAGACATAAAACCCTACAACTTTCATATTTAAAGTTTTTCTCCACCTTGTATACCTGAAGCTGTAGGTAGGGGTCGAAATATAAGAAAAAACCCTGTACATACACACTCTGTAGTCTCTGATAAGCAATAAATAGTTAAAGTAAACGTTAATTTGAAAAAAAAGTAAAAAGTTTTTGAAAAGTCGCCAGAAATACTTCAGGCATGTAATCTTTGGGGGCTTTACTCCTGATAGATTTTCTTCAATTCTCCCCGAAAATCTGACCAAATTGGAAAATCTATCAAATATCCGATTCAATATGTATAGGAACCATTCTGATCATAATTTTTTTTCTACAAATAATGAGGCTTGCATGTGCTTAATAAAACAAGTCAATAATTGAATTAATTATCCATGTATTGCGTCGATTACTATAATAACACATAACACAAACATTTTGGTTTTCAATAAATAATATCACAATCAAGTACAAAACACTACATTACTAGAAAAATCCGAACTTTCTTGTATATAAATATCCTCTTTTCTAAGCTACTGTACGAATAGAAAACATTAACACTTTTTGGGATAGAATTATTTTGAGTCAATACAAGACCAGCTCTTACCTCTAAATTCAAAGTATTGTATTTCATCCATAAACTTAAATACTACGAAGTATTTGAGTCTATGTTCCAGCTAAATGAAATGTATGGCGACTTATTCTTGTTACTTTTTGAAACGACTCTCACTGAATCTAGCCTTGTATTTATTAACCCTTCGTAAATTGTAATAATCATGAGTTATGTAAAAAAGCTAGACCTTTCTAGAATATAATATTTATTTTTCTACTTCAGTCAATAAAAATACAAACTTAACAAAACAAAAAGCGTTAAAATAATTTAAAACAAATCAGATGGATTGAGAACAATAATTTAATTTCAAAGATAGTTTTTCTCAACTGGTCAATTGGTATCCAGTGAATTATATTTCCTCTGAGGCATTACGATTTTCTAACCTTAAAACTAGAATGGAACCACAAAAAAATTAGGAACTAATAAACATTGTATCCTAAAGGCAATGCTCTCTACCCAATGTAAGGGTTTAAGACATTAAAGTCGATTTTTGCAGCAAGCTGAAATTAAAGTATGATTGTGTAAAAATAAATAATAATAATAGCTTGCAGAGGGAGTTGAAAATTTAAACCTCAGCATATAGACGGAGAGCCAGCGCCGAAAAAAATCTCTGAATTTACTGAAGCCAGTTTTTGGATTACAACAGTTATGTACATAAATAAAGTGCGGTCTGTCAAGCGAAACTTAGAACAAGGACCTAGGGTGTCTTGTCAAGTTGTCGAGATAACTTAGGTAATGCAATACAAAACTTATCAGTTTTTTTTCTATGTTTTTTTTTTAATGTTATCAGAAGAAACAAAAACGCACACGGAAAATGGAAAAACGTAGACAACTTCAACTTTTTTTAATGGAATACCCTGTATATAATGCGATAAAATGAAAGATCTTTTCTTCCTGATTCCAAATATATATTGATCACATTTGCGTAAGCCATTTTTGACATATTTTAGCTTAAATTATAAATAATTTGCAAAGAAATTTCATAAGGATGTCAAGAGATACAATATAAAATTTCTTTGCAATTTATTTATAATTTAAGCTAAGATATCTCAAAAATGGCTCACGCAAATGTGATCAATATATATATATATATATATATATTTGGAATCAGGAAGAAAAGATCTTTCATTTTATCGCATCGCCTAATATGCAGGGTGTTCCATTAAAAAAGGTCGAAGTTTCCCACGTTTCTCCATTTTCCGATGCGATTTTGTTTTTTCTGATAACGTTAAAAGAAAATATAGGCTGTAGGTATGGGCTTGAATATAATCAAATACCCTGTATTTATATACATATGTACGTATTATATATTATACATAAATAACACGGAACCGTGCTGGTCAGTCAGCCCAATTGAGGTAGGTCAGCCCCAATATATGTAAAAAAATAATAGGTCTATTTTTTTTAGAGTGACAGTGTTAATTCAAAATTGTAGGTTGAAGTATAAATTTATTTACCATTTCTTGTAGATTTGATTTGAGGGATGATTTTTACATTTATTGAGGCTGACTGACCGGCACGGTTCCGCTTTTCAACTGACTTACTAACATTATTGTTATTTATATGTTATATATAATATGTATAATGATTTTCAGATTTAGTGTATTCGTTGCATTGCCTAACTTATCTCGACAACTTTAACAAGACACCCAAGGTCCTTGTTCTAAGTTTCACTTGACTGACCGCGGTATATTTATGTACGTAACTACTGTAACCAATTATCTAAAAACTAGCTTTAGTAAATTCACAGATTTTTTCAGCGCTGGCTCTTAGACTAATAGTGATCTCAGAAATAATTGTGTGAATTTTTCAACAAAAACAGAACTTAAGGATACATATACCCCAGTTATTGATTATACTTGTTCTTTGTGCATTCCAATACCTGATGGGTACTTAGTCATATCTCTTGATTTGATGCTTACCTTCCCTGTATGTATTTCTCACCACAAACTCTGATAAACTTTCATGAAGTGTCACAACTCGACATTTTGATGATAAACTAAAAATTATTAAAATAAGATCTTAATATTATGAAACTTGGCATACTCAATTAATATTTGAGTTAAGTTTACAATCACTAAAATTAATCACAAAAAAAATAAATAAATAATGAAATTATGTATATAAATGCGTGCTTGCTGAAATTTTCGATATAAACTCATAAGGGAACCCATTTTAAATAAATAATGAGATAAAATTAAAATCACAGAAGGAATACCAAGTACTTATTACAGAATTAAAAAATCCTGCATCACTTGTTTTTTCATAAATTTAATGCCACTACTCTGATATTTCAACACTACAGGACAATCTAAAAGGTTTTAATTATCTATGGTGAAATGCTCCCTTAGGTTTAAGCAAATTTTAACTAAAATATTTTCTTTGGTTCATATTTTGAAGCTTTAATCTACGTCAGTGTCATCATGGCACATTTAGCATCCTCATTTGGATGCCATTAGGGCCTTCAGAATAGCACTCAGTGCCATCATGAATTCATAACAGCCAAATTCTAAAATAGAAAATATACAAAAAGACAGTAAGTTACTAGGGAATCCTTTTCATTGATTCTGTCTCGATATCCAAAGGAACACCGTTGGAAACAACAATCAACATCAACTAATATGGGCACCTGCTAATTTTGAATTTTGTTATAACAAAAAGTTTCTGACATTTCAAGGCGAATCGAATCTATTTGGACCATCGTAGATTAAATTTTGAATGATAGACGTTCGACCTGGACTTTATTATCAATCAAACTTGTTTACACGCATTTCATTATGGTGTTCATATCGAACTAATATCATTAATGACTATAATGAAATCATAATCGAAAGTTTAAGCAAGCGTTATTATGATTATATATGTATAAAAGGCTGCACATAATGCAATCCTTAGACATTATCTCCTATTGCAACACCATTCTCCTTTATGTGGTAGTGGTTGCCGTAAATATTCTGTAAAGGTATATGGAGAAGTTCAATGATTTTCAAATAGTCAGGTTCTGGAATTATATTAATTTAAATATTGTTTTCGAATAAACAACTTTTTCACTTACCATTTTCTGGTGTTATAACCCCATGCCTGACCAAGAAATCCAAAACAACTGGGGCGCTTGTAGTCTTAAAGTCTGGAGCAAGAATCTTTGGCAGACATTGTTTAATTGGTAGAATCTCAAAACATTCTACTTCTCCATCGGCATTTTCCGGAATGAAGTCTAATGGCAATTCCAGGTCGAATACAAATTCGGTGTTCGGGAATAGACCACGTTCAGACTCAAAGTAAAACCTATAATTATGATAAAGAAAATTATTAAAAATGCAAAAACTTCACTGCGAAGATACCTATTTCCACACACATTGTTGATAAATTACTTCTTTCTAATGGACATTAAAAATGATAATATATCAAGTACTAAGGTCAGTACCTGTTCCTTACTGGCTAAGAAAGTGTTTGGATTGTTGATGGAAGCGGGAAGTCATAAAGATCAACCCTGCTGGGGAGTTGATTGCCATAATTTAAAATCAAAGCAACCTTATCAAACAATACAGTACAATCAATACCTGGGCAGTTACAAAAGAGCATGGACACATAAGCAGCCCTCTAATTTTCATCTTAAATGAATCAACAATCACTTATCAGTGGTGGTAGACCATTCATTTTTTTTTTATTGATGATTGTGTGAAATTTTTACTAGCTAAGGTTGCATAGAAGAAGTACTACCTTCAATAGTGTCCATGAAAAAAATAACTTACGAAACGCATCCAGCGCTGGTCAATTTATTCAGCAAGCTTGTGGGTACTGAGGCTTCCTCCATGGCTTCTTTATGAGCTGTTTCAAATATACCATGACCAACCGACAGTCCTCCACTTACCATGGAATCCCATTTACCTATAAATTAGAAAAAAACGTTAATTGGAAGCTGTACTTTTTTCATAATTTTTAAAAATGGTAAGTCTCCTAATCAATTGATACATGACCCCACCAAGGATGGTCATCTTCAAGCCAAATATCCATAAAGTGGTGAGTTTCACAAAAGAACATCCCAGATGTTGCAAACCTTATCCCTATGGTGCGCATACCAAGGGCTCTCTTTTTCTACATTTGGACTGATCCACTTCAAGTGCGAAAAAGGAGTGGAGAAAGCAGGAGAATGAAACTTCCTCTTCAAATACTACAATAGAAATCAGTGAAAATAGTGTTAATGTTAAATATACCCAAATTTTCATCAACAAAGCGAATTCCATATACATACCTATACAGGATGTTGAAGCTTACCCCCTATTATCTCGGAGTTGAAAATTTTCGAAAAAATCTCTGAAACACGTCAACTATAATTTGAAAGAGGATGAGTTTTTATGCCAAATTTCAACCCCCCAGCCCCCAGAGCCACCCCCTAGATAATCTTAAATGGCAAGGGGGGTCGAGTGATACATCATTTTGGAGGGTTTTTAATTCCATACATTTTGGTACTAAATTTTAATCCCTAAGTTCAACCGTTTTGGAAATATTGACAATTGAAAATTGATTTTTTGGCAATTTTGACAGGCTGTAAAACCTAAACGGTTAATTTTTGAGGAAAACCGATCTTACATTCTTGTCTTTCATAAACATAATCATTTGACACCACCAACTTTGAATTTAACCAGAATTTTTGATCATGGGGACATTCATAAAATTTTTGAAGGCAGTAAAATGCTTTACCAAGTAAATATCTCTTTAGTTGAACTCGAAAAACCCTATATTCTCTTATGGATTTTATGTCGTTCGGCAGATTATCAAAAATGTTTATTTCTTCATAAATTATGGAGTGCTTTGTTAACTGTGATCTTAGGATTGGCAAAGGCAATGTGTGGTTTCCAAAATTGTAACGATCTACTCTGGAAACTTAAATATCAAGGATGCCACCTCCAGTATAAAAATACATGGGACGGTCAGTATCTGCTCTCGTACAAAGAGAGACCTACAACTCTCCCAGCAACCCTCTTCTGAAGGACAAACACCGACCTGACCGATACCTGGGTAGAAAAACCCCAAAATGCAATCCCGAATATAATACGCGACACCATTAGTGCGTGGTGTGCTACCTTAGCTGAACGCTTGCCTAGCTCATGCAGTATGCTTCTTACTATATAGAAACCCTGTGACAGATTTTTATTGAGAGCCCCGATATGTGTCTCAAATCTGAGTCTAGAATCTACGTGCATACCCAGGAACCTGACAGTTGATTTGTGTTCTATAGTTCTCCCGTCCAATGTAATGTTGTTAAGATCACACTTAAAAGTCAGTATATTTGTTTTCGATACATTAAAGACCAAGCAATTTGCATCACACCATTCCTTTAATATGATCAAGTCTCCTACAACTGATTGTTTTAGGATTTCCTCATCCTTATGCTTCCAGAGCATTGTCGTGTCATCCGCAAAAATCACAAAATTCCCCAGAACAGGCAGAGTTGCTTACAAGTATAAAGACCCCTGTGTTTGAAACGTTACACCCCATATGAATAATTTCTCACAACAACAACTTGTGAACTAAGGTCGGAACTACCCAATTCCTTAATTCTTAATATTTGTCCCTAATTCTTAATTCTTAAAAAGTTCAATTTATTTAACATTGGTGTTTTTAAAGATTAAGAATCAAGAACAAAAATTAAGATTTAAGGAATTGCGTAACCCCGGCCTAAGAGAAATAAGAATGAAAAGTAACATAATAGATAAATGTGAGATAATAGTACAATAAAAACGACACAAAACAAAGGTGTACCTTCAAGCGAATTGTTTCACTGATATGAAAATGAAATATTTTTTCTTATCGCTACTAGGAATAATTAACCAAATATCGCATAAAAAATTGAATAAGTATATAAAACAATAAATACCTACTTAATTTTATGATATCGAATTCGAATATAGTGGTTTATTTTGTTTTTGCAAGTAAATTGAAAATAGACATTATTTAGATGTTCAATATACATAATATCTTCTTTTGTTGAGAATTTTGTAATTTTTCGGTATTATGATCATTGAACCAGGTACTTAATGCCTTCTACAATTAACTTAGAAAAACACTATAATGGGTGTTCAATAATTGTTACACTCAGGTCGCCTATGAATGGTAATTGTCAAAAGACCGTATGTCTTGGCTAACATTGCAAAAATTATTACATGACAGTTTTAGTGATAGCAGCCAGATAGGTAAGGAGCAAGAGGCACATTCCAAAATCTGCCAAAAAATCCATTGTTTCCACTGATATAGGGCTTGTTGAATTATTGTTCGCCTGTACACAATTATCACGGTTTGCAATGTTTTTTTTTTGTCTATTTCACAGCATTTTTATTGAAAACTAATGAATTCCATAAATGAGTGATATTGACAGTTAGTTACCATGAGAACCTATCAAAGGATCTATGTCGATGATAGAAAAAAAAAACCCAGCTAGATACGACCCTAATGCCGGTTTTCCACTAAACGGACTGTTTAGTTTCTGATTTAAAACATGTTTTAAAATAAAAACAAAACTGAAATAAACACAAAACTCGTTTCCATCAAGCGGACTACATTATGTTTTCTTGGCGAAACAAAACTCCAACTGTCTCAAAACATGCTAGTCTTGAAAATGTTTGGGAAAAGTTTGAGTTTGGGTTTTGTTTTTGTCTGTTTGGTGGAAAACCGGCATAATAGTTATTGAACAACCATTATTATTATGTATGTATATTAAAGTTATTGTTTGTTGATTTTCAATTTTGTTACCTCTTCATTTTGGTCAGATAAAGTGAGTAAAATACTACTGGAAGAGTTTTTCAAAGGTGCTTTTGTTGGATATGTTATATTCGAACTGAAATGTTCATTGCTGTTATAAGCATTACCATCTAACTATCTGATGTGAAACTGCGCATCTAATCAGGTCTTGCACACATCGCACTGATTTTGATTACTAAAGGGCTTTTTTATAAGTTTTGCTTGTTACAATCATTAAAAAAATACCAAAATGTAAAAAAAATACCTGGCCATGTTTGTTTAGTAGCAGATCTCTTCTGGAACCATAGACACTGGCCTTTTTGTGGATGTCTTATATAACCATTGATGGTCACTCCGTAGTTTCTGATGCCAAACAAGCAGGTTGCACATCTGTCCATTTTTAGGAGACTTCTGGTGCAAAATTCAGTTTTCACTTCGTAACACTGGAATAAGAATGTTCAACTCAATAATCTGATAATATATTCTATTTGAAAACTCTAATTTTCCTCTAGTTGTAACGGTGCAACACTTTTTTTCCTTTATTTTGTCTCTAGGATCAAAATCACCTGAATTTAAGGAGAAAAAAAAGCTGGGTAACATATTTCTCCATCAACTCAGGATTTAGTAAAAGCAATGCACCATGCACCTATTGGTTGGAAAACTGAATGGTCTTATTCGAATTGAAGAACTCACCTCATCTCGCCAGCCCTTTAGAGTTACGAAAATGTTCTTGTCCCTCAGCTTGCGCAATACCTGGTCAATTTTGGTGCTTCTGCCTTCATAGTCGCGAAAAGCTGGATTCAGCTCGACACATCCCCGAGTGATGTGGAATACCTGAATTAAAGTAAGATTAATGTTATTTTCAACATGGAATAAATGAGTTATAACTCAACTCGATAAAGAATGGGCATGTTTCCGATTTTTTGCCTATTGAATAGTATTTTGCTCTCTTATTCTCAATGCGCATTTGTTATTTTCTGCGTTCCCTATTTTTTTTTTTTTTTTTAGTTTTTGAAAAAAGCACCTCATTCAAACAAAACCATTTCTGACGTCACAAAGGGTCTGCGCATGCGTATAACTATTTTAGGTTGTTGACAGTCTGTGCTTTTTGAATTAATAGGTCCGTTTTTGCAGAAATCACAAACCAGTCAGAGTGAATTTCATTGGTTGAAACTAGTTTTCTGACTGTTTTCAACCAATTATATTCGCTCTGACTGCTTTGTGATTTCTGCAGAAACAGACCTAATATAAAGTATAATAATTAATTTTCATTTAAAAAAATTTCAGTTAGCATGCAATTGATTATTTATGTGAAACAATAATGTAAATAGATGTAATAATCATGTAATTAATTATTAGTTATTGAAAATATATCTTGAATAAAGATAAGTAACACGGCAACATTGACTGTCGGTGTTGCCAGTGTTATCGGCTGAAAGCTGTTTTTGTTTGACAGATCACCTAAAAATTATTATTTTTGTCATTTGAGAATTGAGTTGCGTATTTATATGGTGTAGAAAATATTGGCAATAAAAAGATGTTTTCTGCCCAGCTGTGATAATAGCTCGTATACAACACCGAATAAATTGTTTCTAGTTATGCCCCATGAGGATGAATTACGGAAAAACTTGTTCATTTAGGTACTTATTATTTAAATGTTTTCCTTCTAAAATTATTGGTTTTGGAAGTTCAAATATTTGTAAAATCAGTGATTTTATATTTATTTCTATTTATAAATAATAATTAACAAATAAAGTTAGAAAAATTGATAAATTCAAATTCCATCACTACAGTCGCTTTGTTTTAGTTCGAAATTTGGAACGGTTCTGGGATTGCGCAGAACTGCTTGCGCACAAAAAATAATAGCGGACTGTTCTATTCGGAACCAAAAAAACCTTATAATAAAAAAACCAAAACACGCTGCAAATCACAAAATACTAAAAGTTCCTCCTTCAGAGCAAGAACTGAGAGAACCGTTGTAGAACAATCCCAGAATACGATTCTGAAAAAACGGAAACGCGTAGGACTGTAGGAAATCGAAAAAAAAAATCAATGCGTGCTTTTTTTTTGTCCTAGTACGATTATTCCGGAAGTAATTCAAATATTAGGTTTTGTATATATAGATATACTGAGCGTATGCGAAGTCATAAAGTAATATACCTTATGACGTCATAAGCAGGTTTCAAAATGTTGTATCTCTGTCAATTTTTGACTACCACGAAAAAGAAAAAACATGTGTTGACTTATTTTTCATTGTCTAATGAAATCAGCAATAAAAAAACTGATGTAAGGCGCCCATTGAGATGGCGGTAAAAGTGAAGGCATTTAAGAATAATGCCCTTTTCAACAACCCCCAGCATCCCGAGTAATATTCACTGTTATTTTGTTAGGTCCTCCTTGTTCAGATGGACCAATTCCAATTATATAGAATCCGCCAAAGATATTCGAGATTCGTACAAAAAATTATGTTTATATTATCAGCTGGCCTGCATTTAGTCAGGCAGCACGTATCAGGAGCCGCTCGAGTACAAGATTATATTGGTTTGAAATTATTCCGTTTAAATTGTTGTTTGTAAATAATGTTTAAAATTATTTTTCAATTTTCTCAAAAGATCTTTCAAAGATTTTACGCAAGAAATTAAGTACTTAATCGAATCCAGAACATAGCTCTTGGACTAAATTTATTCTTAACCCTTATCTGTAGAGTTTTTGCTGAAAAGAAACAAAGAAACTATTTTTTGTAGGAATCTCAAATATCGGTGGCGGCGACTATACTTAAGATTTTTAAGAAGAAAAAAAAAACAGTGTAATTATAGTACAGTGAAGCAACGGCCCCAGTGTGAAATACAATTTCTCAATAAATTTATTTTTTTTTTCGTCGCTTTACTATTTTCGCATTTGCCATTTTTTTTTTGAAGCGGTCCAATTGCATTGGAGTGGAGTAAAGGTCTTTAGTGTGATTGGTGCATGTTGTTATTTAACAATAACTTTAGATTGTGCAATACAACAATAATTTCAAAGAGTGCCCATTTCATGATACTTGTTCTGATAAGATTTCTGTTATCAGGAATAAGTATTTGTTCACTGAACTTTTTTACCTAATCAGATGCAAGTTTAGATATGATATGATGTAGGTATAATTTTAATTTCTCCCTTTCTTTATAGGTATTTTATTCCGTTTGTACCATTGCATATGACCATTTTATTTTAAAAGCAGTTCTAGATGTATAAATCATAAATGGATTAATTTTAATTTGCTTCTGGGATTCTAAATCATTCTAATCTAAATTCTTTGAACGAAATATAAAGGTGCAGTGATTAACTCATATGTATTGTATAAGCTTTGTTCTATTTTTATGTTTTCTTATCGCATGAATGTAATTTTTGTAAGACATAGCACACCCATTGTTGTATTTTAGGATTAATGGATAATGTATATACATACATATATATGGCCCATAAATATGCAGACAAACTTTCAGGGGTGGTAGGAAACATTAGGTATAATACCTGAAACAAACATGTACCTGCCTTTCTAATATCGCAGTAAATTTTGATTGAATAAGTTTTTGTTGGCAAAAAAGCTCTAACATATCTGAAGTTCAGAGCAGAAAAAAAAAACGCTACTCATGTCATGAGCCGACTGCATGTTTTATGTTTACTCCAGGAATTTATCTTTTAAGGAATCAAAAATAAAAAAAATTACACTGGTTTAAACTTACTTACCTCAGGAAAGTTAATTAGCTGTCTCATCACATCAGGCCTAATAAGTCCAACCTGAAACCCTTCCACAATGAAGGGTTTGCATTCTGAAGAATGAAACCCTAAAAAAAGAAAAATAAAGGAAATAAGGGTGGTGAAATACCTCCACTGTAAACTAATCAATAATTTTGAGTGTAATGCAAGGAGCTTCCCTGAATGAAAGTTCTACTAAAATTGTTGTGGAATTATTCAATGATATAGTAAATCTGTTTTACATTACCTGATAAATAAAAGCAGTTAAATTTTTGGGCCAATTTTAAAAGCACAGACATATTTATATCCGTGAAGCAACTGACAAACAATAGTTTTTATTCGGCGTTGGGACTATTCTTTTGATAGACTACTAAACGGTGTGTTCCGTTTGTCACTTTGGTTACCCAGTCGGTGAAATGTCGGTTACCAAAACGAAAATCGGTAGATACGGATCAAGATGCTTTTTGAAAAAATACTACATAAACGAATATTTAATCATGTCGAACATGTTATTCTGCCTCAACAACATAGGTTTTAAAAAGGCAAATCAACAACATCCAATCTTAGTGTGTTTACGGAGTTTCTGGCTAAACATGTAAGCAGTGGCCTACAAATTGATGTTGTGTGCACCAGGGCCTATTTTACCAAAAGGCACATAAGGCCCGGGCCTTGGGCGCTTGGGCCAGTGGCGGCTCGTGGTGTCTAAGGGTGGGCGACAAACATAGAAAACAGCCGTAGGCGAATTTTTTTTAGATTTTCAAGGTCGCGGCCTTTTCAACTATTGTATCAAAAGCATTTTTCATATTTCCATTCTTTCTCCAGGGTGGCGGTGCCTACCTTGCCCATATGGGCGGACCGCCACTGGCTTGGGCCCATAGTAAAGTGGGGCCCCGAGAAAGGCTTGAAAAAAAAATTAACATTTCAATTTGTAAATAAACACCAAAAAAAAAAACGAATATTCCGGTATCTGATTCAGAAAATTAAATGAAATTAGACTTTTGGGCTGGCTTCATACAGCCGGAATATCTTTCTGAATTCAGAAATGGAATTCATAGTCTGAATTCATAACGTACGGAATTGTATACAGGGTGTCATCCCCGTTTTTTAGGATGGTTTCAGGTATAAAATAAGGATGCATTATACGAATGTTACATAAATAATCCCTGAAATTTTGAACAGCCTAGTGTTAAGCCCTTCAGATGATATGAAAGGGGGCTGCTTAAATTTCAACAGCCTGTATTTTGGAAACGACGGACTTCCGGCCATCGGTGTCCTATCTCAAACTACTTCTCTATGGTTCCTCTTTTGTCCCCTCAGTTGAACGGGGACACCCTGTATATTTTTACTATACAGCACAAACATTCTGACTTTTTCAGATTATGAATATTTCATATCGATCTGTCAGAGTGACTCTGACGAGCGTTTTGAATTCCGGATCTGAAAAATTGAGATTATAATTCATAACGCATGTTTCAAATATACATACAAGCTCACACAAAAGATATGTGTGCTGCGATGTGCCGGAATTCAGATCCTGAATTCTGTTCTTGAATTCAGAATCTGAATTCATAACGTACGGAATTGTATATAGGTATTTTTATTATACAGCACACACATTCTGATTTTTTCGGTGTACCTATTGTCATCATAGGATATTGGGGGCCTGAAGTTTTGCTTGGGCCTTGGGGCCCAACTGAATCAAATGGTGTGCACGCTAGCGAAGGCATTTGACAAGGTGTGCCATGATGTCCTTATAAGGAAACTGAAGCAATTCTCATTTAATGATAATCTGATTAGGTATTTGGTCTCATACATTGGCAATAGGCCCCAAACTGTCAAATTCGAAGAAGCTATGTGGCGATGTCTGGGGTACCTCAGGGAACCGTTCTTGGACCGCTGCTCTTTGTGTTGTTTGTTAATAGGGACATAAAGCTTCCGTATTTTTTGCTCGGTATCCGTATCGGTATCGTACTGCGCATGTGCAGAAGCGATACGGACGCCGAGATACCGTACGTACAACGTAACGTTACGGCCCTCTCGCTGTATCCGTATCGGTAACGTATCTTGACATTCCTGACGCATGTGTCAAATTTTAAATGAATATAACCTCACTTTTCTTCCTGGTTGACTTAATTTATTTAGTTTATACTTTCTTGAGTTTCTTGTGTGTTTAGTGCTTCTCTATCGCAAAAAAAATAACAATTTTATATAAAAACGCCGGAGTTTTGACACGAAAGTTACTAGGTTATGAGATGCGTTTACGTTTACCGGTACAGGGAGCGCTTTAACAGCCTTTTCGCTTGTCAACGTATCTAGTTGCGTTACGGATACCGATACCGGCGAATTATTTCAAGTAGCTTTATGTCCCTAATGACGTATCTAATCATGTGGGTAATTTAGGAGTTCTTGCTATAATATGCAGATGATATAAAGATCTTCAAAATTATTGAAAACGAAAATGATGCAGTACTTCTATAGAGGGATTGTAGATAAAATCCTATCTTTTTGTGAAGATAATAGGCTGTCACTAAATATTGGTAAATGTAAATGTATTAGCTTCTGTCGTAGTCAGAATTCTATTTTAAATGACTATAGAATTTGTGATGTCAAACTAGATCGAGTTTAAGAAATTCTAGATTTAGATATATTATTCTCAAAAAATCTATCTTTTGCTCATCATATCGAGAAACTTCATGCTGATGCTATGAGGAAGCTGGGATTTGTGATGAGTACCTGTAATAACTTTAAAAATTCAAACATTTTCTGCTTGTTATATAACTCATTAGTTCGATCAAAGCTAGAATATGCCACAGTAATTCTGGAATCCTGTAGCTCATGTCCATACAGACCTAATCGAAAAAGTTTTTGAGGTAGGTATCTCTTTCTAAAAAAACATGGTTTTTATCCAAGCTTTCCGCCCCTTATATCATATCAGCAGGGCCGGCTCCAGACATTTCGGCGCCCCGTGCAAAAGGTATTTTTGCCGCCCCTCTTAGGTACCGATTACTTTCCTACTTTCTAGTTCCAGTACCACCCTCGGTACTACCTATTTGCTGAACTTACTTTCGATTTTAATTGTGTTCATTGTCCTTATATGATATCAGAGCTGTTTCGAGTACAGGCGAAATGTACTCGGGTACCGGGTACAAGTACTTTGCTCAAAATGTACTCGAGTACAATTACAAATATTCAATACCGAAATACTCAAAGTACCGAGTACATTTATGAATACATTCCACACAATGCGACCTGCAGATCAATGATGTCTTATAGTTATTTACATTACAAGTGCGTTTATGAACATGGATTACAATAACGAGTGTAAAAGATTAGAATACGAGGTCGTAGACCAAGTCGTTCTAATCATACAAGTTTTGTAGTCATGTTTAAACGCTCGTGTGATGTACAACTTTTTATCTACAAAGCGAAAAATAAGATTTTTTTTTTCAATAATTTTCGTTTATTAGTCGTTGTATACCTTAATTTTACCTTTACAGGTTTACCTTTGACATTCGTCAAATCACCAAAAATAGTTGTGTTATGACTTCATAACCTTGTCCATAACACCACTAGTTGTGTTATGAATTCATAACCTAGTCCATAACACAACTAGTTGTGTTATAAGCCTCATGACATAACTCAAATACTGGAAAAATAGTTATGTAAAATCGTCATAACCAAACGCTTGTAGATAAAAGTTGTTACGCACCTCCTCTTTTGAACCACCCTTGATCATTGACATAAAAGTCTAATGCCACCTCAGGCCGCAAACGCTGATGTAGCTGCGCACTTATCACTGCGCATGGGTTATTACGTCACATACCCTTTCACACTTCCGTCCCATTTCCCAGAATAGGGTACTTGCATGGAAAATTAAATTGATTATTGTTTATTGCAAACTGTAGGAAATCGAAAAAAAATCGTTACTTTTTTTTCATTTCGCCCAAATATGATTATTTCGGAAGTTATACAAATATTAAGTTTTGTATATATAGATATAGTGAGCATGTGCGACGTCATAAAGTATTATACCTGATGACGTCATAGGCATATTTCATAGCGTTGTATCTCCGTCAATTTTTGACTAAGAAGAAAAAGAAAAAACACGTGTTGACTTATTTTTGATGGACTATCGAAATCAGCAATAAAAAAATTTGATGCAAGGGGCCTATTTACCCTCAAACCGCCGCTATAGATGTTCACACATCAAAAATTGAAAAACGCAATATGGTTTACTATAAATCAGTTCAGCAATTTTACGGTTTGGTTGGGTATAGCCAGAGTCTAGAGTTTATAAGAGCTCAGAGTTTTCAAATCTACGTTCTCCGACACATCGTCACAGTGCATAGAAAAGTTCAAGATTTTTCGAACAGCGGAACGAATGCTACGCATCTGGTGTGCGATTTTCGAAACCATTCGAATACATTTCGTACAAGGATGACACACTACTACTACAGGATGGCCTGTCCTCATAAGGCCTGTGTGTAACAAATCCCCCCCTACCTCTCCACGCCAAACAACCAGTTGTGACGTAAGCAGCATGCGTTTCTCGCCTTTGACGTATGCTGTTTAAACAGCTGATGACTTAGTTATGACGTCGGCAGTGGTTGAAAACAATTGAAAACCAATATGGCGGCGATTATTAAAAATGAAGCCGATAAGCACTCCTTAATGTGTGTATTCTCCTTGCATTTCGTATACGAAATTTGACTGACAGCAATGTATTTTTTTTTAAGTTAAATGGGGAGCATTCGAAATTATATTGAATTTCGCATGCGAAAATATTCGAAAATCGAACCCCTGTACGCTACACAAGAAATGACAGAAAATTGAAGTCACAGTTTTCACAGAAATCACGAAACAAGTCAGAGCGTTTTTTGATTGGTGTAAATCACCAACAACCAGTTTTCTTGACTGGTTAATGATTTCTGTAGAAACAGTTTTCATCTTGTCTAGAAATGTACGTGTGACCAAATAAATATGTACTTTCACTCAGTAACTCCAAATATATTCGAAAACAATGAAAATACCTGGGTATATTGTATTCGAGTATAAAAGGATGTACTCGGGTATTTTGAAATTTACTCAGTACAATAAAATGTACCGGTATTTTTTATATTTTTCAAGAGTTCGAGTACAAGTAGGTACAATTACATGATTCACAAAGTATCGTGGCATGGATACCAAGTATCTCAAAATGTACTTAGAGTGAAAGTGAAGAGTACTACTACCTGAGTACCGCACAATGCAGCCTACAATTGGTGGCAACTCTCAAATAACAAAAGCACTAAAATATTACCTGTAAATCGCTTGCGGACGCGTGAAACTCGGCTGGCGATAGATGTTTTCGGGTTCTGGTTTTTCGAACTGTTCGCGAACCATCATGGAACTGCGCAGAATCAGTCCTTAGATCTGTGCTAGATCGTTTGGAATTAATCGGAGTTTAAAAAACCCCAACATGTTTTATTTTATTTTTTTACAGAGCAGGCAACAAATTCTCTCCGAGATTTTTGCCGCCCTTCGATTTTGCCGCCCCGTGCTGGGGCACAGGCTGCACAGGTCCTGGAGCCGGCCCTGCATATCAGACGCAATTAGAGGAATTAGATGTAGTGGAGTTGAAAGCACGTAGAGAATTTTGTGATATTAATTTTATCATAACAAAAACATTTCATGTAAAAAAATGGACAAGTACGCGAAAATACTTATCCCCAAACAGAAGTGAGATCAAAGTCAAGCCAAGTTCTTCAATACGCATTCGAAAATAAAATGATGGCTTTATTTATTCTAAAATGTTTCAAACTTGGCGAGTACCTACAGTCAAAATACCTATTGAAAGGCTTTGTTTTAAATTGGGTTTAAATTTAGCTGTATTGCCATTTTCGCGTATTTGACCATTCTTTTACATGAGATGTTTTTGTCATGATATAATATGTACTCTATGCCTAAGATTATAGATGATTTGCTTATAGTTACCACATAATAAATTGTGGATATAATATGCAGCCACTTTGAAGATTTATAATAATTAAATAATTTAAAGAGGGTCATTACTTTGGAAAACTTTATTTAACTTTATATTATGTAAATAGGTACATTATGACAAATGAAATAAGTTAATGAACAATAACAATTGAATTTAGAAGAAAGGAACTTTTTGACTGTAGGTACTCGCCAAGTTTGAAACATTTTAGAATAAATAAAGCCATCATTTTATTTTCGAATGCGTATTGAAGAACTTGCCTTGACTTTGATCTCACTTCTTTTTGGGGATAAGTATTTTCGCGTACTTGGCCATTTTTTTTACATGAAATGTTATGACTTCACTAGTTTTTTTAAGGATTTCAATAGGAATAATGTCATAATTCAACTTTTCTTTTTAGCGCATTAGATCTTTTTCTTTTTGCTACTGGTTTCCCATCGCCTTTTTGAACTCCTAAAACTTGCTTTCGTGAAGCCCACTCTCGATCATTGTTCCTATGCTTCCTATTCAGAAGTTCGGGACGATATAATGACCTTAATTGGTTGTATTCAGCAACTGCGGACACTTGCGCTTTAATGTTATTAGTATCTAAGTTTATTAGATGAACTCCTTCTAAACTTGAAACTCTGGAAATCGCCACATATGCCTGGCCGCATGAAAAAACCGATAAACCTATATCAATAAGTGCATAAAGAAGACTTAAGCCTTGGCTTTTGGGAATGGTGATAGCATATGCAATATACAAATTGGAAATTGTTCTTCGTGGACGTATGCACGACTAATAATCTCAAATTTTGTTTTGACTAGAGAAATTTCATAATGAAGTCCATTGTTAAATTTTGTTTCAAGAGCTTTGACTTTTTTATTCTGATCCGCATGCCATTTCACTTTTTGAATAACTCCTATAAAACCATATTTACCAGACCCAAACTATCATCTAGGTAAATTTGGCTTTAACATAATTCTAACTCCTTCTTTGATTACAATACTTTCTTCTTATCCCGCTGTCATTAAGTCATCCTCTTTATGTTTTTTTAAGCGCTTCACGGGCTCTTTTTAGAAGAAATTTTGGAGAGTTCAAGTTATCTGAAGCGATGAGTTCAACATATGGACTAGGAAGAGCTTCGAGCATTGAATCCTGCTTACACATACTGTGTATTTAAGAGAAGAGTCTGGGGAGTAGGCATACGGAGCTACGAAGGATGCAGAACGATATTCCGCGTGTGGCTAAATTCAGTACTTACATTGTTGCACCGATCTTAATGGGTTCGTTTAGGATCGGCTAAAATACGCACCCATAGCTTGCACGTACGCACTGCTTTTGGAGCAAATGGTCCCAGGTTTGTCAATACATTTTTTTTTTTTTAAGTTTTGCTTTTTTTCTTAGGATTTTTAATTTTTTTTTAAAGATTATTACGAGGACAGGTTTGTTCGGGTTGGTTTGGATTAGCTCTAATTTCGTTTAAAATACCAACATACAAAGACTGGCCCTCATCACGAATTACGGTGAAGCTCCGTCTGTCTGTTCCCCAGACTCTTGTGTTTAACGATAGCCGTGGTGGGTGGTCAAATTTTCAGGGTTTTGGCTTTTTTTCCATGAGTTTTGCCATAATTCATATCAGTACCTATGCCAAATTTCAGCCTTCTAGCATGTTTGGAAGTACCTTAGAATTTTGATGATCTTATACATGAGTGAGTGACAAACTTGGCGTTTTTTAAGGCCATGTCACTTTTTTGTAGGTTGATGGAAATCGATGAAATTTAGTTTTAGTATTAGGTCTACAAAAGATCTACGACTGTGCAAAATTTCAGTTTCCTAGGATCCTTCAGAGCTGAGTTACAGGTAGGTAGAAAATGCCCTGAAATGTTTCGAGAAAAGGTATACAGTAGTGCGCGAACTTGGCGGGGGGCACTACCAGATCTGTAATATTCTAAATAATAATATAGATATAGGTACCTGAGACCTGAGTTGTTACCATACATAAACTTCAATGTACCTGATGTAAGGTTGAGGCAAAGAAACATCACTTTTAAGGTACCTAATTTATCTACTCCTTTAAATAGATGTCCAAAGAGTGTCAATCAATTTGTATTACATAATAATAATATTGACATTTTCCTTATAGTCCTTGCGTTCGATATTTTGCTCAAAGAGCAGAGCGTGCTGAGCGGAGCCGTACTCACGTGACCAGCGAGCGAACAGAGCAGTTGTACGCTGTATAAAAGTGCCAAAAATTTTAATAAATGAACGCGAATGAGGTTGCACCGAGTACACTTTTTAAATAAACGAACGGTAAAGTCAAGCTCGGAGAACTCAGACCAAAATAACGAACGCACGGAGTAAAACAAATCCAGAACGCCAATAACCCAACGAAAACACCCAGAAAACAAGTGAAACGGTAATGTTTGCACTTAAAATAACATGTCCTGAGACAGTAGCTGGATTCGGGATGGCCCAGCGGAACTCGAGTAGAGTTGGAGTGGCGTTTTTATCACGTGACCAAAAAGCTTTTGGAGTGTATTAGTGAATCCGAACGGTCAAGGTGCATTTGGAGTTTTCTAACTTAACCTAACCCACAAAATGACAAGTATTATTTTAAAAACAACAAACGTTTTTCTAGTCTTTTCTATGAATTTTTGGTATTTGGTGCCTATATTTGATTTTGTTGAGGACGTTTATTTCGCAGACTTGTCTGAAGAAGTCATCAAGATTATCATTGGAAATTTCAGTGAAATTACGCGTTGCTTGCATGTCAAATAAGCAGTTTAAAATCCATTCCATTCCATCCATTTACCAAGAAATTACAGATTAAATATTGATTTGTTGACTGTCGATTAGTCGAATAGTCGATTGTCGCAATTAAAAAAATAGGATAAATGACACAAAATCACGAAAACGCACACAGTGCGCATGCCCGCTCCGGCGCTTGCTGATGACGAGGTGGTGCTTTCAGAGTCAGCTCTTTTGACTCCCGCACATCCTTCCCGAACGCATGTGGAGTTACTCTTTTAGCTCAAAATGACAAAACCCGAACGCATCGGGAGTGTTTAGTGCACTTGGAGTTTATAGAACAGTCATCCCGAACCCACCTAGTGTAGAAGGAGACTTCCAGACACGTCTGATACAGAGAGTGAACCTGAAGTTTAGTTTCACGACAAGACGGACTGTATTTTGCTGAAGAGTTTAGTAAAGTTAGTGAAATTATTCTGTAAAACGAACTCTGTATCCTTTTTATTTTTTATACACTGTTTGAGTTTGATGTACTGGAACCCATTTTTGAAAATCGCTAACTACGACCGATTAACTATTGTCAGATTACACTCACATCAGGTGAGATTTCTGAACACGCCCCAGTCACCTGCCCGTTTGTTTTGAGTTTTGACGCTTGACGGTAGACTGTAAAAAAACTAAAAATAAGCAAGTAATAAGCAATGAACTAGACAGAGCCTGAAATTTATATTTTAAAATTTATAAACTTCGTTTTGTTTTGTGTACATTGTAAATAAATAATAACTAATCGAAAATGTCTATCATAATCTTCTATAAGAGTATCTACCTTTAAAAAAAGACAATGTTCCACAAAGCTGATAACCCCAAAGGCAGTTTTTTAGAGCATACAAAAGCAGCCAGGGAAGAAAGGGCCTTGGAAAAACGTAAGGAAGAGGCTATTGTCCTTATCCAGGCTCATGTAAGAGGATGGTTGGCAAGAGTTAAGTTTGCCCGTGGAATTTTGTAAGTATTTTCATGGCATGATAGCTTTCATATTTTCCTTGCAACCAAATCTTTGATTAACAGAATTTTAATGAACATTGAACATAGGTTTTTCTTGATTTTTTTTTAAAAAATGGTCGTAAAAATGCATTAGACATGCGAAGGAGATCCAGAACAATCCTTGAGAATGATGTATTGAAGAGCCTTGCACTCAGATTTATCACTAGAGTGAAAAAAAAATTGCTCGGAAAATTGATACTCAAATCGGGAAGTGAGTGTTCTTGTTTTTTTAGTCTATGACCACACAACTTGGACCGAGGCCAGAAAATTTATTATAGCTCTGTTCCAACCGACATGAGAACAAACCGTTCTAGAACGGTAATTTCCAGTTGCCCATCTATTTTTCAATAAGTTGAACCTCTATCTTAATTGACAAATGAATTGAATGACTGGTAATTACCTACTATTCTGGAACAGTTCTCATGTTGGTTGGAATAGAGTTATAGTCTCTAGGTTTTGAGCTTATGGTTATAGATGAGACCTGGTTATCTTCCTTAATTGTTACATAGAATGCTGACTTTGGAGATGAGAGGAATTAGCAAATCAGAGAGGAAACATTGATACCTACACAAAATCGCAGTCCCAACAGACCTTGCCTAAAAGGTTATTAGGTACCTACTACATTTTTGGCCTCGGTGAATTCTTTGAGGTCTAAAATTTTATTCGAGGTGGAAACTCAATGTCAAATTTGGATTATTACAACAGGCTTGTATACAAAAAAGTAAACGTTTCTGCTCCATCCAAGAGACTTTATTGGTATCTACTTGAAAGTTGAGCTTAAAGTTATGAAATATCACAATTATTAAATAATAAATTAATAATAATAAATTTACTTTGAATTGCACAATGGATTATGGAGAATCTGTGTGTGCAGTTAATAATACTTATTGCCTTAACTTAAATATATACCTCAATATATACATATAATAACACTAGTAAGGTTGATAACTTATGGAATAAATAAAGTTAGCAAATTCATCAAATCTAACAAAAGTTCTCAGTGTGTAATCATCCAACAATTATTTTGGCTTCACCCCATTAAACAGAAATAAATAGAAAAATGGAAAAAATAAAATAAAATAAAATTATGATTGGTTAATAGTTATTCACTATTCTTTAATTTTATGTTTAACCCAACAAGACTCATTTGTTCTAAACTAGCAGGCAAAAAGTTGTACAGCTTAGGACCAGTAAAGTAAAGGTGTCTCTGTGTGGCTCAAGTGATTACAGAAGGGATAATAACATTCTGACGAAATGCATTTCTAGTATTGAGTTGATGGCTTATCTCCTGCCTATAATAATTTGTTTTTAGCATAAAACGAATTGCCGCCAGTATGTAGAGTTGGTTTAAAGTCAGTAACCTGCAATCACGGAATATCATTTCAGAAGGGTATCTTCTATTTATGAAATACATTATTTTAATTAGGTACATATTTTTGTGTGCTACATTTAAAGGTGACATAATAGTTTTTTGGGCATTTCCCCAGACAACAATATCATTATTTGAAATTGATTATATTAATGACAGGTATATAGTTTTAAGAGTTTTAATTGGTAATATGTTTCGCAGCTCTTAGAATTTATAAATCAACTTTCTTATTTTGGAGGTTACATATTCTATGTGTGTTGTCCAAGTTAATTTTTCTTCCATGAATACTCCAAGATACTTTAGACTGCGTTTTTTTTTTAGAGTAGACTGACATTTGCAGCTTATTGCTTTCATGTCACAAAAAGAATCATGAACTTTGAGTTCTCGAACTTCTGAAAGAGTTGCCCGGGCTAGAGCAAAAGTCATGAAGTGAGCTTTGTTAATATTAAGCGATAGCAAGCTAAAATCTAACCATCTTTTTATGTATGTTATTGTTACTTCTGCTTTCTCAATACTTGATTGCCATGTCTTGCCACTTATTATAATAACACTATCATCTGCAAAACAGAAAACCCCCCCTCTGCTCAATACAGAAAAGATACCATTAATATATATGCTAAATAACACAGGCCCCACCACGGTGCACCAACTCCCATCCCTACAGAATCACTTTTTACATTTGCAATTTTTACTTTTTGGGTTCTATTAGTTAGGTGTATCTTAAATAGATTATTAGCTGAGCCTCTTATACCCATATCATGAAATCTGTTTAATAAAATTTCGTGCGCCACAGTGTCAAATGCTTTTGCCAAGTCCAGGAATATGACAACAACCCTCTTCCTGTTATCTAAACCCTTTATAATCTGTTCTTCACTTCGTCACTTTGCACAATGCATTCTCTGTACTGATATTATTTTCAAAAGCAAACTGGTTTTGTCGAGGGTTTTGTGATAATAAATTATGTTTATTTAAGGATATCATACCTCTATCAAGTTAGCAATACCCCATGCACTCCGGAAAATGGTGTTAAGTATAATGATTTAATGATTTAACAATGAATACTTAATGAATAAAATAAATAAATTTCAATCTTTATGCTAAATTAAATTAAGCTATATATTGCACCTAGATCACAAACAATCTGTATGTGCAAAAAAAATCTTACAGGTTAATTATTCTGGAATTTAATATAGTTATACAAAATTTTATTATACCTACAACCTGCAAGTTATAAGAAAAAACTGCGAAGAAAAAGAAGAAACTAAGAAAGGGATCTTAGACACACAATGCTGAGAATCACAATAAATCAAGATAAGTCCTATGGCTATAATTGCTGTATATAATTGGCTTACACTTTTTGGCAAATATATTGTACTTAGACTTAGGTATATTTTTTATGCTTATTGGTAGGGAGTTGTATAGTTTTGGAGCTAAGCTCGTGGCAAATCTTTGGTTACCGTCTTTTCGGTAGAAAGGAACTACTAAATTCTGGTATGATATTTGTCTGGTTTGGTATGTGTGCTCAAGTTTTGTTTGTAAATTTTTGTTTTTGTATAAAAAAAAGGCAAATGTTACAAAAATACAGCATTCTTATACTTAGTACATTCTCATTATACAGCTGGTCAGTTGGAAAACGTTCTTCGTTTTGAGATATAACCTTCAATATGTAATTTTGTACAACATTGAGAGGTTCAAGTGCACTAACATAGAGACCACCTCATACGACTATGGCGTACTGTAAGATGGATTCAACCAGTTTGCTTTATAGATTGTTACAAGCAGTTTCTTGTTCACCAATTTACGGAGCTCATAAAATTTGTAGACCAGCCTTCTTGTTTTAACAGCTAAGCTATTTACATGATTGGACCACTTCAAATTCCTGTCAACTATCACACCCAAGTATTTACTGTTATTAACTTCATTGATTTTGAGTACTGTTCTCGGTAACTGCTGGTAACTGGTAACTGGTGATTAATATGTCGCTTTATTGTCGTAAATTTGTCGCACAATAATGTCACCCGATATTCCTACAGAAGTTTTACTGAGTGGATAATTTGTCGTGCAAAAAAAAAATGTCGACTCTATTAGGATAAGAAACGCTGAAAATTTCAACTTTCCATCTATAATAGAAAAAAAGTTATGACCTTTTCAGATTTCTAAATCCTAAGGTTTGCCTGGCAAAGTTCTTTAGCATTCAGCTATTCTTATATGACGCAGTAGGCCTTATCCACTTGGAATCACATTGTGCAGCTGACATCCAACAGCAAAATCATAATTCAACCATTTCTCGCCGGCATTCGGTAGTGCCCCACTGTTACACTTACCTTAAGGTAAAGTACCCAGTTGTTGACATGTTAAGGGTATCCTTGCTTATGATCACCACACATTTTCCAAATTTTTAATCCCAAGGCTTTGATATATTTTTTGGCGTGATTTCAAACTCATAATTAAATGTGTAGATATATTATTTACCCTATATTCCTATTATTTGTGTTATTATGCCAAAAATACCTGAAAGGTGATAAAACCCCAATAGTTGACACACACAAAAGTTCACTTCGCCAAAAGTTGACACATTTTTGATCCAAAGGTTGACATATATTTTTTTACAAAACCAAATTTTTACTTTTAAGAAATTTTATCACGGTCTGTGGAACTAAGAAGTATATTTTTCTAAGTGTACAATTTTTTAAATGAAATATATGCACATAATAACCAATTATTTTAATTTTTTTTAAGTACATGTTGTGGTTCCATTACTTGACACTCTTGAAACCAATAGTTGACATGTTGCCTGTATCAGTAGAAACATCAATAATGTAAGAATCAAACTTATTATTAATAAAAAATAACATTGGGAAACTTTTTGTTGGGAAAAAAATACAAATTTCAATTCCAAATTGGTAATAAAAGAAATTGCTTGGAAAGCATTGGTACATTGTGTTGTTTTGCTGATGTAGCTGCAGTAAGCCCCCGCAGCAATCATGTCTTCTGGTAGTTCTGGTGCATATTTCAGCAATTTCCATTTTTCATACGTCATCTCTTGATTTAAACCTGAAAGCACCAATTGTTGACACTCCAAAGCTCCAAACATTGACAGGGGTAACAGGGGTGTCATCTATTGGATCTAGGACCGTTACATTCCCCAAACCCATATCTAGGTTTCTTTTTAATCCAGAGCAATAAAAAGAGACAGACTACAATGTTAAAATATTTTTACCGCCAAAAATCCATAAGTTGACACTAGTGTCAACATTTGGATCACCCCTCGATTTGGGCTTCAATAGTTGACAGCCCCCCTTAAAAAGTTTATGCCAGTTGTTTAAGAGATAAAACAATAATAAATATGTATTACAATGTATCTTATTATACAGTAAATATATATTATTCATAATTTATCAACCCTACCTTAGCTTTGAGAACTTTTGTTTTTATATCTTCTTAACTATTTTCACTAGAAATCTGGGAAAAAATTCAAACATTTGCACCTGTTCACTACTTCTTGCCACAATTTTGAAAAAAACTTGTCATTTCAAATCCATACATTAGCTATAGCCTGAAAAATGGCTCCAACAATACTATAAGCTATTTC